ACATGTAAGTCGTCCAGAGAGTAAGACTTCGTAGAAGGCTTCCAGGAAGTGAGAAGACTACTCAGACGACTTCCTGGAAGTCTTCTACAGAGTCTTACTCTCTGGACGACTTACATGTAAGTCGTCCAGAGAGTAAGACTTCGTAGAAGGCTTCCAGGAAGTGAGAAGACTACTATGACGACTTACAGTCGGAGAAGATGTGAAAAGAGGAGTTGTCCATAGCGGTTACACATCTGCATATCGAAGGGAAAAGAAGAGTCAAGACTACAATTTTTAGGGTTTTCCGGCGGCTAAACGCCTCAAAACATAAGATATAACATACCGGCGGCGAAGGAAAGGGCTACGAGATTTCAGATCTGAAAAAAAAGGAAGGGGATGGTCAGTTTAAACTACGAAAATACTCTAAGCCATGAAAGAAAAACAAGATTCGTCGAAATCGGAGAGATTACCGGCGAAAACGGAGAGATTCGTCGAAATCGGAGAGATTCGTCGAAATCGCCTTTACAATTGTCCTTGGAGAGAAACGGCGCTAGGGTTTCGGAAAATTGTGAAAAAGTGAAAAAAATAGCTTTTATATGTCTGGTTAAAATCCGGTTAGGTTAAAACGTAAAATGTTAAAATTAACGGTTCGGTACAATTAGACGACTGAAATTTCAGTCGTCTGGGAAAGAATTTAAAGCAGACGACTGAAATTTCAGTCGTCTGGGAAATAATTTAAAGCAGACGACTGAAATTCTAGTCGTCTGGGAAATAATTTAAAGCTTAGTCGTCTGGGAAATAATTTAAAGCAGACGACTGAAATTTCAGTCGTCTGGGAAATAATTTAAAGCAGACGACTGAAATTTCAGTCGTCTAATCCCTAAACATAACCCCTAAACTTTATTCTGTAATTAAACACTTCAAAACATTAAATTAAACTTGAAAAATGTTTACTATACACAGAAATAAACACATAGAGGTCAAATTAATTTTTTCAAAAAAACATTTCATCTTTTCAAAATCTAACCCTAAGATTACATACAATACTACAACATATGTTTGCCAAACCCTTAAACCAAAGAATATCATGATTCACTACTTCCACTCNTTACAGAATTTATAAATTATTTTTAAGATTCAATCGTCCAGACAACTAACATTTCAGTCGTCCAGACGACTGAAAAGTAACTCAGCCCGACTCAGACAACTTACTGGGGTTATATTCGTAAAAATGTCTTCTGTTTTTTTGTTTGGTCACAGAGGACTATATTGTAATTTCATAGCCTTTTTAGGTTAGATTTGCATTTCATTCAAGTTGGGGTCTAGTATTGGGGTTAAAACCAAATTGTGAGTTAGTTTTGGCAAAAACCCCAATTTCCTAAATATAATGTTTGTAATTTTAGGTTTCTGGTAAACTCAACGAGAACTAAAGGTCACTATTATATGACAAATCATTTAGTTTTCCCTTGAAGGAATATTCAAATTTATGGAATATTTCCAGACGGAATTATGAACCGCGTATAGTAGTGATCTCACGGTTAAACAATTTTGAGCAGATGACGCTCTTATGTGGTCAACAATGGTTAACAGCCACTCTTTTTAATTAAACCAATAATCAATATTCTATGTTGCAACATTTTATTATCAAATTGAGATAAAATAAACGTAGGAAACAATTTGAGATGATTTGTTCAAAGGACTTGACGTGAATGGTGAACCCCATCATTGCCATTATAAATATATCCACACTTCGTTTCTCTCTTCTCCATTATTTCTCTCAAGCTCTTCATCTCTCTCTCAAGCTTTCTCCCTCTCTTAATTTATCTATCAAATGGTTGAACTTGAACAGAAGAAATACCTATTGTTTCTGGGGGTGCCTGATTCGGAGTTTGTCAAGAAAACGTACGGAGGCTACCATAACGTGTTTGTGTCTTTACTCGGAGATGAAGGTGAGCAATGGGATTCCTACAGAGTCGTGGACGGGGAGTTTCCGGACGAGAATGATCTTGAGAAGTACGATGGATTTGTCATCAGTGGAAGCTCTCATGATGCCTTTCAGGACACTGACTGGATCTTGAAGCTTTGTGATATTATCAAGAAACTCGACGTGATGAAGAAGAAAGTTTTAGGTGTATGCTTTGGCCACCAGGTAAATAAAATTTCCTCAAAATTTATAACTTATTGGTTGAGAATATGCACTAGATAGCCAAATTTAACTGTTTAGTTGCAAAAATCACTATAAATTATTGTATTGATTGCATTTGTTAACTATTATATATATACATATATGTATGTATACTATATAACATTGTCGTCGTCATTGAAATACTTTTTAATGCGTCGGAATAAGCAAATTATGAGTACAAAATTAGATAGCTGCCTCTTTGAATGTCTGAATGGTTCTTGATTCGATCATGCGTTGACAATTTAACTTTGACCTTTTGACCAAAAAAAATTTAACTTTGACCTTGATAATGTGAGATGGACCTTCAAGTTCGTAAAACTTTCAGTAATATTGTTAACGTAACTAAAATAGTTAATGATTGGATAACATTCAGCTAATAGCTAGAGTGAAGGGTGGGAAGGTAGGGAGAGCAAGGAAAGGACCAGAACTTTGCCTCGGGAACATAACAATCCTGAAGGACGCTGTGGCGCCCGAAAACTACTTTGGTGAGGAAGTTCCAACGAGTCTGAGGATCATAAAAAGTCATCAAGACGAAGTTTTGGAGCTGCCGGAAAATGCAAAACTACTTGCATATTCAAGCATGTACGAGGTAGAAATGTATTCAATAGAAGATAACTTCCTCTGTATTCAAGGGCATCCTGAGTATAACCGTGACATTTTGATCGATATCCTTGATCGGGTTCTTGCTGGAGGCCATATTACGGTTTGTTCTTCTCTCTTTTTCTTAACTACTTAATTTATTCTATCTATATACATATTATTATTTTTTTATCATTTTACTCCCACACTTATAATCTAAAACGTGAACTCGTACTATGATATGGTAGATGCGCTAATACAACTAAGTTGGACGCAAATCCTTGTTGAATAAACAAAGTACTTATACATAGATAATATACCTATCTTTCTGCAATGAATAATAATAACTCGTTTGGATTAGGTTTAGTTTAATGCCTAATGGTCAGTTTCACTTGTAACTTCTAGCTGATCTTTTACACCTATATATTATATTTTGGATTGTCATCCAACTCTATGTAGGAAATTTATAACTTTAAAGATTTTGATAATGTATTAATGCTATAGCTATTTTACCAATTTGGGTTCCTAGTACAGCATAATAATCTTAAGACTTGTAGTGCTACAATATTATTTGATAGATAAAAAACCCATCTCTTTATTTTGTAGAAAAAACCAGCATTGGTCTCGAATCAAATTTAATAAACTACATATATTAACATCGATCGAGTAAAAAACTATCCGCTCCATTATTTTTGTTATCTGTGTTGCTACTAATTTTACTTCATTGTTATAAATTTATAGGAAGACTTTGTGGCAACGTCAAAGGCAACTCTGGAGAAAAATGAAGCAGACAGGAAGTTTTGGCAGAAGATCTGCAAAAACTTCCTCAAGGGTCAAGCCTCCTTTTTAGTTTGACTCACAACTCTGAAGTCCCATGTGGCTATCACAATATTATATTTACCCCCCCCCCCCTTGGTTTTATTACTCAGTCTCCTTGTATCCACTTTATATTTTGTAATGTACAATATTTGGTGTAATGTATTAATAAGAATTAAATAAAAGGTTCGCAGTCATAATTACAACTAGATTAAAATCCGTGCTTTTCAATTGGAGAATAATTTTTGATGAAAACTTCATATAATTGTATTTTGTCTATATTTAAAGTAGATTGAAGTATAAATTTTTTAATCCAAAGTCTGAACTGAACCCAAACTAACATTTCGATCTGTACTTGGTCTGAAATGTAAAAAAAATGGGTCTCTTAGGATGGTAAAAAACATATTTACACCCGAAGTATTATTAGCCAAACTTGAACGAGTAACTCAAAAACCGAAAAAACCAGAAAACTTAAAAACCGATCCGAATGTCCAAATTAATCTAAAGTATAAATATTTGAAACATAATATGTACTTAAAATATTTAATTTTATATTTACTTTGTAATGGTATGTAGAATAAGTATTTAAATTTAAATTAAATGTTTTAAATATTCAATTCTATATAAATAAGTATTTACTTCTTATGTTTTGCTTTTAAATTGGGACTTAATTTTGGATATATTTGAACTAAACTAATATAATCCAAATCCAAACGATATATGGTTACTTTATAGATGTTAGGATGTGATACAAATTAGAATCAGAACCGGACTGTTATATTCTAATATGATCCGTACTTATAATGTAACTTTTTTTTATTTCTTATATTTTTCAAATTTATTTTATTATAAATTAAATAAAAAATTTATAATAATATAAATTAATTATATGGCGTTCAACCCGTCTCATAATTGATAAATATTTATATTTTTATGAAATGAGATGCAAAAACCTGTAACTGTAAATCATAATATATTAATTTTATATACTATATAATAAAATAATATTAATGTCCAATAAATTTAATATTTTATTTTAAATGCAAATATACTAAATTATATGTTAATATGATAATTTAGCTATTATGTGAAATATAATAAAATGTTTATGCTTCTAAATACTTTCTTTTAATATTTTCCATCAATAAACTGAAATATGTTGTAAACTGTATAAGTATATGTTATCATGCATATGTAATTATTTTAATTTATAATTTATTAAATAGTTTTAATTAAATTATGTTATGTATATTCGTTATTGTAATAATTTAATTATGTATATATAAGCATTATAGAAATGGTATTTTTATTTTATAAATTAAAATGAATTAATATTCATTTGTAATAAAATTTAAATAATTTCGAATTTCTGTTATTAAAATAAATATTAAAACAAGAAATATTTGGTAATATCTTTTGATATATTATTTTGAAAATATTTAAATAATATATTAAGATTATTTATATTTAATAATAACTAAGTTTGTTATATACAAAATATTGAAAATTACATAGATTAAATGGACCAACCTAGACTATTTTTAGGTAGATAAATAAATAGGGTTATGTATTAATAGATTGGATAATTATTATTGGTACGGAGTGTTATTTTCAAAAATTAAAAAAACTGACTTTGGGTATTTAGATAGATTATAGACTAAAAATTTAGAATTCAAATATTTTTTTACATCAAAGACTATCTTATCACTCAAACTAATTTTTTTTTACTTAAATCAAATTTGAATAAAAAAGCGTTTTATAGAAATTTGGCTTTTTCACCAAAAAATAATTAAAAGCAATTTCCTGAGTAAACCGTAAAATCAAAATTTCCCACCAAATTCATAAAATCGCAAAATAACAAAATCAATTCTTTTTTGTTAAAACCGTAAAATAAATTTCCCGCAAAATGAGTTTTATCACTAGAATCACAAAATTTTGTTTTCTCGCAAAAAAATCTATCCTGCCAAAATCACAAGAAATTATTTCTCGCTAAAGCCATAAAACATTTTTTCTTGCAAAAGCCATAAAATAATTTTTCTCACAAAATTTAGTTTTATGCCAAAACTACAAAAACAAGTTTTCCTACCAAAACAGTTAGAGTGTTATAGGTCTATAGTTCTTTATGGATTCGATTATAAGTGATACAATGACATACTTTTTGGTTTTGTATTATTTTCATATTATGTTAATTGATGTGGGTTTGAATTTTTAATCAATTAGGATTTAAAATTTCTTTGATTCTTATTTTTCTTCTTATGTTTTGTTTCACTCTAAAGTGTATGTTCATTTACAAGGTACAATCACAATAAAGGAAGAAGATAACTTCCAACTGGGATTCATGTTGAAGGTCATCTTTGAAGAACAAGAAAAGAGGATAAGTTGGAGCTCACGCGAGCTATCAAGGAGCTTATGAGCCATCTATCTCAAATGGGTATCAACGTGATGGAGACTTTGGCCAAGGGAAAGCTTTGAGAATATGGTGAGCGATACTAGCTTTGGAACACACAGTATGACTATGGAACATCATGTCATTCCCCATTCGATTAAGAAGAAAAAACTTACAACATGCTGAAGTTGCTTTTGAAGGGATAATGGAGGATCAATGAGATAATCTCACTAGTGTCTTATCTTTAGAAGAACCGCAAAAACAAAGTATGCTATGTATTTTGGATGACTCATTGTAGTAGATATGCTTTGTAATTTTAATATCTCTCATATGGTCTTTAATGGAACAGTGACAGCCCATATGCACATGTCGGTAATGGGTTTAGTTTTTAATGGATTTGGTCTTCAATGGACATGGTCACTATCTATTCACAGAACAAGAAATGTTTATCTGAACATGGACAAATGGATGCGGACAGCCCAATTGACAGCTATAAAAAAACGCCAAACGCGGTAACCGCCACATGCTAAGACATGTCGAGGAATCGAGGCAGGTAAGCACATGATTATGGAGCCACAGCGAGCAACCGCTGCGGGCCACTTCCGGCCGAAGTTTTCCATCCAAAACAGCTTTTTGATTAATCTGGGGTTGATTCGGTTCGTGTATAAGGCATATAAAAGGAATTTTAGTAGAAGAATAAACCTTAATTAGCTACCTAAGAATAGTTTTCTATTAATTTTCTTTTGATATCTCTCAGGTTTACTTCTTGTGTTAGGTCTCGACTTCTTTGCTATGATCTTCCCCGGAGCTATAGCCGTTTCATTCGTTTTCGTTGTTATGATGTTCCATATTCAAATAGTAGAGATTTACAAAGAAATATTGCAGCTATTTACCAGTGACTGGGATTATTGGACTGATTTAGATATTGATCTAAAATTTTTAGTTTTTCTGTATATATTTTGTTAAAAATAAAATTCTGCTAATCAAATGTAAAATAACATGTTATTTATACATATAATACATTATTATTATTAGAAAAAACCATAGGATATCACCAAATTTAGTTTTGTGAACAACCATGACAAGAACCAAAAAAGTAAAAATAAATACGTATTAAAAAAATAAAAAACTTGTAAAAGCATATTAATTTTGCAGTTGACCAGAAATAAGAAGATTGGTATAACGATATGTATCTATTCTATTAAAACATAAACTAGATTTTGACCCGCGCTTGAGAAGCGCGGGTTTTGTTTTGGCTGTAAGAACATTTATGAAATGATTAGATTAGTATTATATGAGAGTTTTATGTTTGAATGTAATGTATATTTAATCTTTTAGTTGAGTCTTTTAATTAGATTACGCATAACAGAGTCACTTTGTGACTGAACCGAGAATCCGAAAAACATTAATCCGAAAGACATTAAGAAAGATAGTCTTGTAACATAAAAAACATTAGGTTCAGCAATCCAGTTTTTAAGATTAAAAAACACAGGTTTTGTAAACCAGACAGCAGTTAAAAAGTTCATAGACATAAAACCTTCAAACATAAGAGATGAGGATAGAGATAACTTAACGCCACATTTATGGCTCTCCTAGCTTTTCCCAATCGAGACTGGGAACCTTCACATCAGCAAGACGGGCATGAGCAAGAGCAAGTTCCTTTTCCAGGTTGTCCTTAACATGGTTCATAACGCCATCGTTGAAGATCTCATCAAAGAGTTCAAGTTTACCGAAAATGCGATACACTTCCACCTCAGCATTATTCTTCGCAACAACGGCTTCATGAAACCTCATGTACATGTTAAGAATCCTTCGGTAATGATTAGTCCTATCATTCATTCCAGACGTGTAAGCCTCTTGCAACATTGATCCATGAAACTGGTGCGAAGACATACTTAAATAGTGATCTGCATGTTCATATAAATGGAAATAAGAACTTAGACAAAAAAAAATGATATATAACACCATGAAAACATTTAACTCTCAATGAAGATATTAAAAGAGACTATATATATGAAAGATAACCATTTGTCATGACAGAAATCTTAAAAAACTTAAGCGGGGATCTTATCAACTCTCATTGATCGGTTAATGCATGATCTAATGGCTGCTATAATCTTATACAAAATAAACAACATGTTTCGTTCAACAATGAAAGATCTAAAAAAAATAGCTAACAAAGTTTGATTCCATATGAAACAGAGGAAAAACTAAAAGAGATTGCAATATACTAATATGTTGATAGGAGGTGATAGAGATTCCACACGTACTTGCACTATAGATTACAAAAAAAAAAGGATAACTTACAAAATTGTTTTCTTCTGATTTGCTGAGAAAAATCTGGAGAAAAAAAGATTTTGATAGGAGACGGTAGAGTTTCCACTTTATAGAAAAAATAAAACCGAGCTTTGTATAGTTCCAACACTTCATTTAATAACTATATTTTTGTCGAGATTAATTGTATTTGCAATTATTGAGCTTTTATTTTTGCACTTTACCAATATTTCTTAAAAAAACTTTAAATATTTTTAAACTTTTGACTGATAAAAGCTATCATAATATGTGAATCTATGCGATTAATATTTGTTGTGCAATATATGTTCCTGGTATTATGAAAACAGTATTGATATCAAAAGATTTGTCTCATTTTGTGAAAATTGACATTTCTCTTATGTGTGATTTCTTATGTCAGATATTTTGTGTAATAAAATTTCTTATTCAACTATGGAAACTAACTTACTAATGACAAAGTAGATATAATATATTATGTGATAGATTTTTATATGGAATTTGTATGTGATAGATTTGTATATAGAATTTGT